AAATCACAGGCAATATTTTCCTATTGAGCAGAAAAGTTCTACCCAGTGTTTTGCCATCATAGCATTAACTGCTCTGGTAAACACAAGCATATATTACAGGCTGTTATGACAACTTGTGTCCAGAGTCTTGGGGACCAAAAAAACCTAACCTACACAAACAAAAACAGCAGTACAAAATGTAACCCTTTAAAAATCTGAACTGAACTTTTTACCCTTCTTCATACTCCAGCTTTGCATTGGTAATGTCACAGGAATATTTTCCTTGCAAGACATAAGGCTCAAGTTTCTAGGTTTTCCCTCAAATTCTCTAATCCTCCAGTTCATATCAAAGGATAAAAAGGGGGAAACTTTCAAAAATTCAGAGCTTCACTAAAAAATAAATTTAAAAATGACAGACAGTGCTGTCTGCTGACTTCTACTCTGCATACAGGAATCTATTTTACCCTGTGATCAGAAAGAACAGGTGGATGATGTACTCTACAGACAGTTCAGCGTAGTCTCACGTTAGGATACCCTGGTCCTGATGAGAGACTTTAACCACTGAAATATCTGCAGTAGGATAAACACAGCAGGGCAAAGTCAATTCAGCCAGTTTCCAGAGAGCCTTGATAAGAACTTGACAGCCCAAGACAGAGACACATTAGTAAAGCCGAAGTCCACCTGGAATTGAATCTAGCAAGGGTTGTCAAAGGAAACAAAAAAATCTTTATAGCTATATAGGTGACAGAAGGCAGGCTTAGGAAAATGTGAGCCTGCTGCTGAATGGAGCACAGGACATGGAAAAAGGCTGAGATACTGAATGTCCTCTTTGATTCAGACTTCTGTGAAAGCATTAAATTTAGAACTCTTAGTCTTCATTTACAATAAATATAAAAGTATAATAAAGGACAGCAGAACCTTAACTTGCCTTAAATCTATACTAGCTCAGGGCATGAGTCAGATAAACTAGTGACCCGTGTTCCATTTGCCAGCCCAAACATCCATCAAGTAAGATTAAACATACCTAAGTAAAACGAAGCATTTGATACACAGATACAAAGAAGGATCAACATAATGACATCTGGAATTACTTTTCCAGGCTGAAAATAAGAACAGAAATTACTAACTCCGCAATGTTTTGGCTACTTTGCATTTGCTGGAGGGGGATACCCTGCTACAGTATGTCATTAGCCTCACATTATTTATCTCTTTCATTTCTTGGACTGAATGGTGTGCTAAAGCAGGGTATCATACAGAAGGAAAGCTGGGGACAATCAGCTCAGGAAGGAAACAGCATACTTCACCTGCAGTTCCAAACAGTTTAGAACTAGCACATCTCAAATGTAGGACTAAAATACCAATAATTTTTTTAAGCATATAGTTTTCAGCAACAACAGTGATATCAACAGCATCCCACTTCTGTAGTACATAAGCAAGTGTCAGACCAGAGACCACTGGGAACGTAGAGGGTGGAGCACTTATGGTTTCATTTCCATTGCACTCCTACAGTAGCCAAGCATTCTCACCAAAGTGTTCAGCAAGGCTGTGTTCTTATGCTTAAGGGACTATTCTGCAAACAGATTTAGTGGAGATTTAATTTTTCCCCAGCTTCCCCCACCATTACTCACCTGACCTCTAAGTAGCCTTCATAAGCTCCCTGCAGGCAATATATTTGAATCCAGCTCCATTCCTGAGCACCTACAAAGAATATGCATTAATGCTTCAGCCCCACCCTCAGGCAGAAATTATGAGGCCTCAACTATGAGGCCACATCAGAACCTCTGCAAAATGAGGGTGTAAGGATAAGAAATGCCACTATCTGTAACTAGTGGAAACTTACAGAGGTTATACAGGAAGGAAGGAACACTCCAGATCCCATGTTTGACAAATCTACTTGGAAAGAAGACTCTAATCCATAAGAGAAGCTCTTTCTAGGAAGAGTAAACTCATCCTTTAAGCGCAAAATAGAGTGGAATGATCTTCATATCCATATGCTTCTTTCCAAGTAATGGCATCTCATCCTTCCCTACTTACTGCTATCCAGCAGGGAGAGTGAACCACACATTGCCAAGATGCTACAATGCAAACAATTACAGAAGATCCTACAGAGGGAAGACAAAGACCACAATGGGGCACTACCTTTTCTTTCACTGCTAAAGAGCAGCCTAACAAAGAATTCCTAGCAAAGAATCCTGACATTACTTAGTATTAATTACCTGTCTACTTATTTCTTCTCTAGAGTAGATATGTTGGAAATGCAGCAACAAGGAACCCAAGAGCCTTGTATTCATATGCAGGAAAAACATCGGGTGGCATGCACCTCCCTCAACCCTAGAGCTGAGCTAAATATTATCCAGCAACATTAACAAAACTCTCATATTAAACAGTAAAATAATTCCTCACTAATCAGATGTTCTTGGTCAATTTCTGTTTATAAAGGAGTAAAACTACAGTTAATAGACTGCAGTCTATCTGCAATGGTGATGCTAAAAGCCTGACCATTCCTGGATTTCTGCACCTTCTACCACCTCCAGTGGTATGCCTCTGTCTGCACGACTTTCAAGTTTCTTGTCCTCCTCTTAAAGGCTTTAAGTGTCTTCTACTCAACTGCCTTTGTCTTAACATCCTAATCTTCCTACTGTACTTCTCTCACAGACATACTTCTGCCCCCTTTTATTCTACTTATCTTAAGGTGAGGATATACACAGAACTTATTTGCAAAGCCACAAAGTACCTTCTACTTCAAATCCTTAGTCAGACCTGACTTAATCCAAGAACTCTGCCAAATATAACCCTACTACAGGTTTATATATGCAGACACAAAGAATTGTGGCTCTTGCAGTTTACAATATTATTGTAATTAGTAATTATCACAAAAGTCTAGATGTCCAAGATTGTTAGCTAAAGATTGTTACGAACATGTAAATTCTGTGAACTAAACGTATCTGGACTGCTGTGATTCTTTTACAGACCTGAAGCAAATAGGAAAAAAAGAGTCCTCACCAGCAAGAGTGCACAGGAATCTGCTGAACTGCACAGGCTGCAAAAGTCCAGTTTCTAAAATTTATTTCTTTTGAAATTGAACAAAAACTGTAGTAACAATTCTAAATTCTTCATCTCAACTCACTGGCTTTTAACAAACAGCTCCTTCAGTTTTTAACAAAGGCACATGTGCATTCCCTATCCTTTCAAGTTCGGCATCTGCAAAACAGGTAACATCAGTTCACTCCTCCAGATAAATGCACAGATAACAATTAGCTAAAAGGCATTATGTGACCATATTCAGGGCAAAGTAACAACACCCTACAAAGCACAAAGAACTTACTTAAAATGTGGAAATTACACAAAATTTAAGTAAAAGAGGCATGGCTTCACTTTACATGGTAAGAACACCTGACATTTCCATTATGCTTTTGTTAAAACATCAGTCCACAAATGATGATTAGATGTCTACCTAGACGGTAAAAAAATGAAGAGAAACAACTCTTGCATGGAAGGCAAGTTAAGAGACCAGTGGAAGGTAGTTTTTGAAAGGATAGATAGCTGTGTTAAAACAGGCATCCAAAAATTTTGGGTGCTGTCTCCAGAAACATGCAGACACAGGTGCAAATTTAACTAGAGACTTAATTTGTTCTTGAGCATTTCAAACGTGCAGGAATTTGATCAAACATGAAGAAAAAGTACTTGAATCTTTTTTTGCAAAAGAAAATGCCTAAGAAAATGTACTGGAGGTGATCAGTGCTGTGTTCTCACCATAATCTTGGAAAATCACAAGCAGAAGTAAATGCATAAGCAAATTGAAAAATGTATTCACCAGTTGCTATTCAACGCCACGTTTTGAAATGTCTATTCCTTATTTCTGCTCTTACATATATAAACTCAGTATTCTACATTTAACTTGACAGGATTTCTCTCTTGAATGCTTATGATTTACAACATATTTGCCTTTTAATTTACTGGAACTGCCGCTTTATCTGGGGGGACTTAACTAAAGCTGTTTCCATATGTTTTGAGCTGTAAGCTTGAGACCACGGATTTGGAATTGTACAATGTTTTGCTATTGAGCAGGTTGGCATAAATCCCATGTGTGGTGTATATTCACATAATACCTCCAGGGTTCTTCAGCAGGACACCTCCTATGAGTGAATGAGCATGCTGTTTTCCAACATTATGGAGACTGGAGTCAACATTCAAGAGGAGAAGGATACGTCACCATTTTGTCCCCAGTAGTTCACAATAACTTTGTGTTAAATCCTATTCATTTCACTCATTCATGAGAATGAGTGTCTCACACTACTCTCAAAGAGAAGAGATCGACAATTTTAATGCTTCTACTTTTCCAGCAAAGTCACAACTGCTTAGGAACTGGTTAGGAAAAGCAGACTAAACCAAATCTTACCCACTGCCAGACATGCATACCCAATTCCAAGCCTGCATGTCATGGAGGTGCAATTACTGTGCCTTTATCCCACTCCCTAAACCTACCTACCAGGTTTTGTGAATTATAGAGCTAGGTAAAGGTTTTCACAGGTCCTGCTGTTAGAGATATGATACATAGGGAGGTTCCACACTACCCTCTCCTCTTTCTGAGAAAGAAGGTATCTCTGTTTCCCAGTCACAGAGGTCTCAGCTCAGGAAAACAGAAACTTGAGAGGTCTGAGTGCAGGATTAGATAAAGTTCACAGTGACTCGAGAGTGAAATACTAGCCCTAGTGACATCAACAGGAAAGCTCTCACTGACTTGAGGGCCAAGATTTCAGCCTATATTCCAAACTAAAGTGGTTTTTAAGATGATGAAATTCAGGCCCTGATCCTGTAGGAGATGTATGCACCTTTCATTTCATATACTGAGCAGTTCAAATTCCACTGAGCAATTAACATTAAATAAAGTAACTCAGTAAGTTTTAATGAGATCTAGTCTCTAATTGTAAGTACAACTTTAAGGTCTTACAGTGTAGTGAAAAGATTCAAACAGCACAAAAACAATTCCAGGGATGCTTGCTTTGGGTCTTTTTACTTACTTTTGTCTGATCATCAGCTTTAAATACATAGCAGATACTTTGCTGATTTGCTGCTTCATCCTTTATCAGACAAGCAAAGTAGCTTGGATCATGGCTGTTGTGAATCAGTTTGTGGACCTGCTGTGGCTTGTACTCAAACAAACTTGAACAAATTAAAGGATCCCACTGCTGGGTTTTCCCTGTGTCTGGCTCACATCGCAAACTGGCAGCTGAAACACAAAGTCGGATTTGGGTGACGCTGGGTTCTTCTTTGGAAGACTTTGCACTGAGCAACTGGATCTCGGCCACAATCCAAGGCAGCATTGACATAGTGGTTAGGGAATGCACTGGGAGAGAACCCACGAGCTGGAGACTGAAACTTGCTGAGAAATCACTAGGCGTTTGACACTTTTTAACTTTGAAAGTTATTGGCTCCATTTTACAGTCCTTTAGGTAAACTGGACTAATTCACTAATATTTCACTTCCATGGAATGACATTATCTGGATGCAGGATGGCTCCTTTGATTAAGGAACAGATGAGTTCTGAAAGGAAAAGAAAGAGTTATGTAGGTGCTGGAAGTCGATGAAAAACCAACCCTCAGTAACACAAATCATTAATAGCTTAACATTAGAAGAGAGCTATCACGGCCCCCATCTAGCAATTGGGCTTTACTATTTCAGGTCCAACAAACATAATTGTAATAAATACATTGCTTGGAAAAGAGTCAGTCCTGATTAAAAATTTGCTTTATGACTTAGCTCAACTATCTAATGAATAACTAAATTAAATGAACATTCTTTCCAGCCTGTGTCTGTTTCTTGAGCAGGCACATGTAGATCACACTGGCCTATTTCAATCCTGTTACCACAGGAAGAACTCAGCTGAGCTATTCTGACCTTCATGACAGTTGAAGTCACTGCCTGCTAAGACACCTATACATTTTGGGGGAAAAAAAAAAAAAAAGTCAGCTTGACAACTTTCTTGTCCATAGTTGGATGACTTTGGCTACTAACATGGAGTTGTTTCCCTAGGTGCAGTTTGCCCAGTGATTATTGATTGTAACCAAATAGATTTTTTAAAATAAATAACACCCTATAAATCACTGTCATCTAAAAATGCCAGTAGCAGTCAACTGAGTGATTGCTGATAAACCTATCCAGTCCCAAGCAAGAATCCTTCCAGCCTTCTGGGAAGAACTAGATGACAATCACAATTCATGGTTGCATTTTAACGCTGGTCAGTCAGACAGAATTACTTAAATGTTAGCCAGACCGACATTGTGTCATTTTCATTTCTTAAAATATCAAATGGAATATACCAAGTTACACACAACCCTACTGTAACCCTGTTATACCCAGCACCTACTACCGCTACTGTTATTATGTATTAGTACTTTTAGTAATGAAATCCAGTAATTGCATTTATTTATAAATTCCATTTCACAAAAAGCAGTCCACGAAAACACGCAGATTGGCATTTGTTACACTACCCTGTTTTAACTCCTCTTTAACTGACCCTAGTTTCAGCTGTCACATTATATTGTGTGAGACTGACACGAGGCTGACAGGCCTGTAATTGCCTGTGTTTAAATACCAGGACACTAGTTTACCATCAGTCTTACGAGAGTTTCCCATAATAAGACCTATTAAAAACAACATAAATAGTACCAATATATCCTTAAAAAAACATTTTGATTACATTTGAACAAGTATTGAATAAGTGGCATCTGTTTACTGTGGCAACAGTATTTCTTGTCCTTGTTCATATACAAATATGATCAAAACCAGCACTATTTTTCTTAGGAGTTTCCATTAAACTTTATCCTTCATTTGCTCTTGTAATAATATTTTCAGACTGAGTTTTAAACCTTGCTGAAAATGAAAGAAAATTTCAAGATTAAAAAAGCCACAAAACTTTTTTTTAAAAATTCACAATGTAAATTAATCTTAAGCTGTTTAAAATGCAACCAATCTGTAAATGTCTCAGCGGGGGAAAATGTTTCTGCAGTAACTAGCAAACTGTAAAAATGAGAACTGCAGAAATCATCTTTGGGTACATTTACTTTTTTGAAGCTTTTTCATCTTTTGACAAATGAACACTGTGGACACATTACCAGTTCCAAGAATAGCAAATTTAGCAAGAGTGCAAGTTTTCAAGATACTATTCAATGAATTCATAATAAATAGCAGTCTAGATGAGTAGATCAATTTTTTAGAAGTCTTTTCATAAACCTGTGTGTGTGTATCTGCACAGGGGAGGTGTGCGAAAAAGGGCCATGAAAATCCAGAATTTATATACCTCATTTTAAGTATACTACAACTAGGGGGTTTTTTTTTGTTTATTTCACAAATGAGCAAGAAAATAAGCACCTTTTAGATTAATACATATGCATTATATCCTAAATGAAATGGCACTAAGCTGTAGCAGGGGTGGTTCAGGTTGGACATCAGGAAGAATTTCTTCACTGAAAGGATGGTAAGACTTGGAAGAGGCTGCCCAGGGATGTGGTGGAGTCACTGTCCCTGGAAGTTTTCAAGAAACAACTGGATATGGTACTTGGCGCTATGATCTAATTCACATGGCAGTGTTCAGTCAAATGCTGAACATGATGATCTTGGAGATCTTTTCCAACATCAATGATTCTGTGATTCTAAATGGGATAGCAGCTTCAGGAAGTATTTTTACACCTTATCAACACAGATTGCTAAATACAGTTACCATTATAATTTTCCATCAGCCAAGAATCAAAATGGTCTCTTCTTTGACAAGCTATGACAAATTATTTCTCCTTAACTGCAACAATGAAAAATAGTTCAGCAACTGCAGAGTAGATTGGATTCATTCATAACTACCATGGTGTGTAGTCTTAAACTGCATAAAAATCGAAGTTTTAGCTTTTAGTGTTCTTGTCACTTCCTGGCATAGCTAATAATCGCAGGACAAGAAAGCCTAAGAAAACTTTATTCTTAGTTGAAAACAGAAGAACTGAGCTACAACACAGACAATAATGTATTACCACATATTTTTTGTGGCCAAGGTAATGTAGCCTCAAAGAAAAATTAATATCACAATATAATACATTATTTTTTATGCTAACCCTAAGGACTGAACAGTATATACAAAACCCAAGGTTGATACTCTGTCATACTTAAACAAACATTGTACTGCTGGAATGTATTTAATATAAATGTGAAGCTTCTTGGCATTCATCTCTATTTTTAAAAAATAAACACCTTGCAAAATCAACAGCATAAATACTCCAATGTCTGCATTTGTTATTTCCAAAGAAAAACACTTACTACTAAATCAAACCTATTAAGCAGAAGTCAAAATGCTAGTTTTTTTCCCTAATGTTAGGAAAGGCTGAAAGTGCAGTTTCTCAGAGCACAAATTTAGCAGCATCAGAAAATCTCCTTATCTAACCCATATCGTTCTGTGTATTACTGTTCGGCATGTTCCATTTTCCTTTCCCAACCATTCTGTCCTTGTTTTCCCCTCCTGTCACTTTATTGTAAACAAATCCAACCAGAAATTATGCCAATTTCCTGCTGCTCATGTTAATGTCCTTCAAGTCTACACCAAGGACTAGGTTTTACTTCAAGACCATGAAGTACTTATGTACATGCTTAATTTAGACATAAAAATAGTTTTGTTCTTCTCAACAGGCCTATTCCCAGCCACAAAATTAAGCACACATTACGACCAAAGAGTAGCCATGCTCTCAGCTCATCCATGTCTGCCCCGACCCCACTGCTTGGAATTTTAGCAGCTTTACCCATCTCTGGTTGCCACCTTTCACTTCATCCCCTCTGAAATTTGGCTCTGCAGGTGCCATAGGAGCTTACCATACATATTAGTACAGTAGGCTCAAACAAGTTTCCTCTTCCTCACAAGTGTCTGATTAACTCATGCTTATTAAATGTCTATTTCACCTCTAATCCAAGAGAGAATAGAAAAGATATAAAAATAAAGCTGTCCAATAGTTTCCTTCTACCTCAACTCTGATGCTCCTTTGGCAGCTCCATGCAACATTCAGCTTCATTACTCTGGGCTTTGCTTTGCACACTGGATGTCTCCAGTTGTTCTCCCAGTGCTCACAGATATAACTGGGACAGTTCCTCTTTCTCCTCTTCACCAGCATCTTTTGAAAGATGTTGGTTGCCCTTGCACTCGAAACTGAGAACAGCTTGAGTGACACTCCTCAGCTGACAGCTTTGCTGTTGAGAAAGATAGTTTATAGAGATACGGAGAATATGAACCTTTTTGTTCCTACTGCTTAGCCTGCTTTGATTCAGCTGTATTTGCTCCATTAGCATAAAAACAGCCAGTCAAACTGTAACGGATATGATATTTACACAAACCACAGTAACAGATCTATCCCTGCCTTCTATACTGGGAAACACCAGGCTGACTCAATAATGTGGAAGATACACATAGGAACATATGTGTGCCCTGTATCCTCAACTTCTCTTTTGCTCTGATACACCCAGCCAGTGCTCACAAGTGGGGAGCAGGCTTAGAAAGCATGCAACACTACACTGATGGTCCTGTTTTAGCAAAATCTGGTAAGTGTGTTTTAAAACTCTAACCTAATTTGAAAAATATATATATTAGACTCTTCTCTCCAAAATCAAGTTACATTCTCACCGTGTTATGCCACCAAGTTATAAGGGACCCTTTCAGAGAGAAGCCAGGATGACGGCAAGACAGCATGAAAGGGAAAGCTACACAAAATATTATTTCTGCCACTCTGGACCCCATGTGAAGGTACATTTCTAAGCAGCATTACATCATGCAGGACAGCATTCTTCAAAACTCACCTTCTCTCAAGAGAGAAAAGACTATATCACAAGGGCAAGGTATTGGCTCCAGGTGCCAGTTGGTTAGATGAGGTCAAGTAAGCTTTGAGGTTAGGAAGGAGAATCTTGTGAGGTTATTGTGTTAGTAACCTGGGAAAATGAGGCACTGAAAATCAGGTTTGTACACCTGGAAGAACACCAGGCAGATCTGGGATACACTCAAACTAATACAGAAAAAAGACAAAAAGGACAGAGAATGTTCTATAATCAAAAGAAAACACACACACTCCCCCACCCCCCACTCAAAAAAAAAAAGGCAGAAACTTTGACAGTGGTGAAGTGTTATCCTTCTTTTGTCCTGTCTTTTCAACTGGACTAAATTCAATACAGACATGCAGCGAAAAGTGACTTGAGCAACCCTTCATTCTCCTCTAGCTCCTTCCCTGCTTTGGCTGCAGTTGGAGTGTGGGGACTCAGAGCAGAACTGACGAGCTTAGAAGATACATCAAGCAAGGAGGCAGTCAGAGCTTTCACACAGCAATGAATAAACGAGGGCTTTGACCTGGGAGTCGAACAGAAAGATGCCATCTTCCTTGACCTTTGCAGTTCTTCTGAGAGACAACTGTGCAGTTACTCCACATCAGGCTCAGGACATGACAGCAGCTTTACTCTATGTAAGCTTCTGTAAGTCAGTTTTTCTCCCCTTCAAGAAGCTAAGCAAAAAATGCAACCATACAGCAAGGTCTCATGAAAAACAGCTGGTCTTAAATAGCAAAAATTTGTTCAGCTCTTCTCTGCATGGCATTAGAACTGAACCCTGTTGACAAATGGAACCAGAGGCACTAGTACTGACTGCACTTCCCCACTGATTATTTTAGCAGAAATATCATACTACTTAAGGATTATGAGGAGCCCTGGCCTGCAGCCAGAACTCTGGAACACTAGCCAGAACAAAATACCACTTGTCCCCTCTCTTTCTGATCCCTAACTGAAATCTACATTGTCTTTGCTCAAGCTGACAGATTTCTCTATCCACCTGGCAGGATATACAGAAAACCACAAATGAGAATATATATTAAGTATGTCATGTCACAGTCACTCAAAAAGTTTTTTTTATTTAATTCAAATGGACACTTGGAAACACAATACACACCTCTTGTTGCAAGTATATTCTTTTTATCTCATAGCTACTTATTATCTGATGTTTCCTTCTGAAGCTATGGTTTGCTGTGGGCAACAGCATGCACAAGTCCAGAAACCAATTTGCCTCAGAAATTAGTTTTAATTTCCAATTTTTTTTTCATTAAATGCTTGCTTTTAAAAGACTTAATGCTTAAATGCTGTCAGCAACTCTAGACTGGCTGCTGAATAACATTTGGCCATATACTCTGGTATTGGTTCCAGTAATAAATACACCTAAAATATTTACCTGTACAGCCAACATTTATATCGCTCCTCAAATAAGTTTTAAAAATAAGCTATTAATAAAAAAAATTGCAACAAAATGCTAGTATGTTCTTGATTTAAAAACAAACACATTTATAATCAATTATCAAATGAAGAAAATAGCTGACTGTTCCTGTCCTTAACACCTGTTGCTATTTCCTTAATCAAGTCCACGGAAATTAATACACTGATGATTGAAGTCTTCTGACCCAGCCTCATACAGACCTGAACAAAATATTGAGCTGTTATACAACTGTAGAACATTCCTTTTTATTTAATTGCATATCCACAGCCAAAATGCCTGCATTCAACTTTGCAGTTAACCAAATTAAAGTGAAAAAAGTGTAAAGTCACCCACATATCACTGACTGTGTTTCACTTTCCCTCCCTCCTGTCGTTTTTTTCACCTGCAAACATTTCCACTTTAGTGTATTACCTATGATTTTCAGTATTCCTGTATAACAACCCGAGACAAATTTCTATTTCAGCACTTACAAGTGTTAAAAGTATAGTCATATGTGTCAGTTCAGAAGTATTCGCTACTCAGAAAATGTCTAATTTATTAATTTTGACCCATGATGTTCCATTCAATCTCTGGGCTTAGCGCAGACACAAATCCCACCATCTGCACTACTAAAGGTTCCTACAGCAGATCTGCCATGTTAGCCTCTCTCCCAAATAAAACATAGCACACAAAGGCCTCAATCTTTTCAAAGTGCGCTATAAATAACCACATTTGTTTCATACCTCTCGTGAACGCAGTTTCAAGAGATCATTCCCTTGCTGACTTAGTTCGCGAATTTAAAGGGCCATAAGAACACCGCGCCGCCGTGGGCGGATGGAAAGTTAACATTCGGCTGTGCCGCCAGAGGAAAGGTCCGCTCTTCCCCAGGGAAGAGCCGCTTCGCTGCTCTCAGACGGAGCGGGGTCTGGGAGGAGTTATACCCACCGATTTTGCATAATGGGCGAGGAAACGGCAGACGAGAGAAAAAGAACTAAAGGCACCTCAGGTCACTGATAGATTAAATTCAAGCAGGTCTTTTGGTTATTCTGACGAGAAGCCAGCTCTCCCCGGACCCCGCCAGCGAGAACAGCGGCACCGGCGCCCCCGTCTCCGCTGCGCTCCCGCCCGGCCGCCCCGTCCCGCAGCAACGCCGTTCGCACAGCCAGAGCCGCGGCTTCGCCGCCAGCGGCGTCAGGAGCGACGGCGCGACCGTGCCTCGGGCCCGGCAGCGCGGAGCCCGCTCAGCCCGCCCTTCCCGCCGCGGGCACGGAGCGGGCCCGGCCCGACCCGCCCCGCCCGGCGCCGCAGCCTTCGCCCCCCTCACAGCGCGGGTGCAGGCACGGGCCGGCCCGCGGCGGGTGCCCCACTCCTCACCACAACTCTTCACTTCCTCTGCGCTAAGAGCTGCTCTTCCTCCTTCCCCCACACCCTCCCGAAACGCTGCTCGGCCCCGCTCGGGCCGGCCCGCAGCAGGGGTACGGCAGGCCCCATCGCCGACCCCTGACAGGGCCGGGGCTGACCGGGCGCCGCTTACCGCCTTAGGATGTGCTCACCTCGGGAAGTGCCCTCGGCGGGCAGCGGCCGCCGGCTGCCAGGCGCGGCCGGGCACCTCCCGCGTGGGGAGGCGGGCGGGGCCGGTAACGGGCGCCGGGCCGGGCCAGGGGCTGCTCGCCCGCCGCCGCCTCCTGCCCTGCCCGCCCGACGCCTCTGGCCGCTGCCCGCCGCCTCCTGCGCTGCCCCTGCCCCTGCCCCTGCCCCTGCTCGCCCCGCCCCTACCTGCCAGCGAGCCAGGACGAGGAGGGACCCGCGCCGCACGCCCGGCCTGGCCGCTCCACACCGCGGGCAAAAATAGCAACAGGCGGCGGGTCCCGGCACGGGCGGCCGGCAGAGAGGGCGGGCAGCCGGCGACAGGGGGGCGCCCATGTCGCGACAGCGGCAGCTGAAGCCGCCTCCCCTTGCCCGTAAGTTCTTCTCGAAGAGCATTTCGGCGATGCTGCCCCGTGTGTCTGGCACAGACTCTGATCCCTCGCGGAAAACACGTCGTTGTTGCCTTGAGGCAGTGAGCCTGGGCGCATGGCGGGGTCAGCTGAAGCGGCGAGCGAAGTTTGCTCAGAGAGCTGGAATTAGCCCGGCTCGAGAGCTCTGAAGCAGTCGAGTCCCCGCTCGGCTGTGGGTCCAGCCCTGGCCGCAGGGCAGCCTTTTGAGAGCTCACCTGAGTCACCTCGACGGCTTCCCCAAAGAAACCACATTTGCATGTGCATAAAAGGGCTGGTCTTCCAGTTGCCAGAAAGGATAAGGCATGAATGGATCCGGATTATTATACGTCTCTGCAAGTGATGATTGAGGCACCCTACATCCCCATTCTGCAAACCACTTTTGTACACAATTAATTTCAAGTTTTCCTGGCAATAAGACCACTGATTTAATTACTTTTAAGCCTGTGCACGTTTGTAGAATCAGAGCTTTCTAAAGGAAATCTCTTTTGCTGTGAGGGGAACAGTCAAACTGTTAAATGCAAGCACAATGTTGCCCCAGATTATGAACAAAACCCCAGATTCTGGTATCCAAGCACATCCCCTACTTGCAAAGTGTAAGTACAGTAGTGTACACAAGAAGATACAAAGTGCATCGTGTCTCCATGACCTTCGGCATCTAGGTGTACTTCCATAGGATCACTGGTAAATGAAAGTAGCAGTTTGCCTAGAGAGTTTATTCCCAGTCTGTGCTCAGGTCATGGTTTACTGCTTCTACTTCAGACATGGGAATAGGTATGAGTGCCTCTTGCTTTGCAGTGACATCTTTATGGTCCATGGTAAGGAATGCCATTTCCTTGCAATCAGTACCTGTTTTATTTTTAAACCATCACAGCTAAGGACAATGCTCTTACTCCATTTATCAATCATTATCAGTACCTGAATCAAGTATGCCCTTTTGCTCATTTTAAGCCTGACTGAACATTATATGCCTCTGGTAACCATGCTCTAGCAGAAGGTGAACTGCAATTCCCACCCAGACAGCTCTGGCACGTCAGCCAAGGCTCATGCATTCCCAAACTACCAACTGATGATCTTAGGAAGACTTTTTTTACTGCTTCACTGTTGCCTTACAAAAATGTAATGAAACAGATAAGGATCCTACAAGACTATTTCTGGCTTCTTGGAAATACCTTGAACAACAGCAGAAGTGAATACTAAAGCATCACAATTATAAATACTCTTTTTTCTCCTCATTGATACTGGGAAAGAAATCAGCCTCAGAATGTTCAGCCTGCCTGCAATGAAAGTTACCTAATCATCACCTTTCAGGCTACATTGGACAGCATTCCTTCTCTGCTTCCTGATGAAACTGTTACTTAAGTAGTGGCAAAAAAAAAAAAAAAGAGCCATAATGAGGGTTTTATGTTCCAGTCCCTAAAAATGAAACACTTTTATGTATTCCAGGGACTGGGATCCCAGTACTCATGTGAAAGCTACGAGCACCAGACTTTCTAATAATTTTCTGTTTTCTGAAAGAGTAGATCTCTGTTCTTGTTTCCTTCACAGGTTAGATTTTCTTTACAGTAGCCTAATAACTAAAACATATACCACCACATTAACCCTCAGACTGAAAAGGAAAATCAAGCTTTGATTTCCACATCCTGCAAACACCAGTTTAACATTTTCTCTTTGTCCAGTTATGCTCTCAAAAAAATGCAAGGAAAACCCCACTACTGCCTTTAGTACAGAACCTGAATATACAGGCTTGTATGAAGCACTCTGTGAGAACATGTGGGTAATGAAGCTTCTTTTGTAAGTTAAGGACCAGAAGTATCTACTCACTTGGTCCCACTTGGGGTAGGATTGCAGATCAATATAAATTTAGGCTCAATGTGCCACGTCATGAGTGAGGGCAGAACTTGGTGCTGTACCCTTTGAAGTACCAGGAGGAAAATAGGAAGTTTCCACCCAAGATGCTTTCAGAGTTCAAGTTGCTCCACAGTTGGGCAATAGCTGAGCAGTAATGCCTTTGGATTGCAAATTTGAATGCAGGCACCCATATTGTGTTTCAGTTGCCTTTTAAGTTTCTGTGCTTTTCCCTCTATGATACCCATAATGATGATTTCCTATTGTTATTATATAAAACAGTCTTTTCTTGTGACTTCTGTCATGTAAATTTGTTTAGTACATTAATAAGGGATCTTATTAACTGTTTTGCAGAGCTTTGACTTAGGGAGCCCTGGATGAAGTACTACATTCTTATCCAATGACATTGTATCTCCAGCTGCTATTTATAGTCTCAATTCATAAACAAAATTTACATAACTGTTATTATAGCACATTTACCTGCTGCATATGGTGTAGGAATACATGCCAGTGACATTAATTAGTGATTATCTTTGTAGACAAGAGACTTTCTATTATCACTGATGAGTAGTCAAGGAGTTGAGTTATTGTTACAGATCCTGCCTGCTGCTGTCTGTATTTTTGAGCATTTCAGATGTCATGATTAATCCCCTCTTGCTTTCATTCCCAAGCATACATCTGAAAATGACTTACCAGTGTTTATGTGAGTATTTTAAGCTTCTCCTTTTGTTTGAAAGCTGCTGTTTCTATGCAATCATATATATTACAGTTTATTTAGGCGAGTGTTAGGGCATAATTGGAGAGCTTAATAGTCTCATCCCATTATTCACAATGTTCTGATGGTGTATGACCTCATTTCAGTTACTTGGCAATTGCTATACAGCAGAGTGATGTTGGCTTCTACTCGGAAGTGATCAGAAATACTAACTTTGATGAATGTGTACCTTACATAGTGCAAAAATGTACTGGGAAAGAAAGCAATTCAGCTTAATTACCTTCGATTAGTTTTATACTTAGAGACAAAAAACTGTTTTATTGTGATTATTTTTATTTACAATTAATTAGATATACATATGGCATCCAGATGCCTTCAGTGTCAGAATCCTAAAAATCCCCAAACTTGTTAATACTTATGCTGGTGGTTAACAACTGTTAATTTAATATCATTTTAATGTTGCTATTCACAGTGATTGTTAATCAAGGACATAAGATTTGCCTGTTGGTGGTGTGTGAAAATAAAACCCATGACCACTGCAATTTTTAAAAGGATTAGCAAGGAGAAAAACTTTATTTACAGAAACTTTGTAGGTGAATCAGTTACATATTTAAGCACACACTTGTACAATATGAGAATTGCTTATATAATAAATCTTATTTTAGAATGAATTCCAGCTATCCTTGTATGATTTGTTGCACATAGCAAAATTATCAAATAAATCCTTCTGCAACTCAATAATTGAGTATCATAACAATACTTTTACATAATATGCTGTGGACTAAGTTCATAGCCTGTAAGGAAGATGAAATGTATTTACTTCCTTCCAGCCAAACTGTTTCAATCCATCCCTGAATTCCAATTTATTCAGTAAATTTTATGATATTGGGACTTGTAAAAAAAACTAATAACCTTTAAGTGAAATCCATTGGTCTACTCTTAAAGCATTACTGTTTTGGGGTTTTATTTTGGCAGAACTTTCAGTACTATGATAATTCTTCTCCATCTTTTCCTCTAGCCCCATAGGCCTGATCCCCTATAGGATCAATGTTTACAACTGTCACTGGAATTGTGTTTTCATCTGTTATAAAAAACTGGCTCATTTTACACGTTTTTGGTAGCATAGAGATGTGTCTTTCTCCAGAAACAGCCAAGAATTCCCTTACACCTGAGTTCAGTCTGGGCTGCAAGCACTTCTTATTTCAGTCCTGGCAATTCCTATTTCTGGGAAAGATACTAATTCACCTGCTCCCAGTTCAAGGCTGCTTTTTTACAAATTACATTTGTCTGTGTTTTAATATCTATCTTGGGACTAATAATATCTAAGTAGGCTTCATTATCTTACACAACACTTTAGTGGAAGAATTGGACCAGCTCTGAAGAAACTGTAGCTTAACACCCCTTCTGACTTGCAATACTAACAACTTCTCCCTTTGCTATAAACCTGCTGCCTTTGTTTTGATTCTTTTTTTCACTTCTAGATCCTCTTTCTCTGATGCAAGACGAGGTTAGTAAAGATTTTAGCAATAACAAGTTTTCTCCTGTAATTTTGTAGTTTTTTGCAATTGCTCAAGCAGCTTGATAAACCACTGTGAGTTTGGCTATTTTTTTTGTCACACATTCCCCAACCAAGTTGTGAACTTCTGGAATAGTGAAAGGAATGGAGCAAGTAAATTCCTTGACCTTAGGAAGACAGAATGATAAAGATTAGGTCATCATCATATGTCTGTACTGTTTCTGAGGATGCTCTAAAGCAATCCTAAGGATGTTTCAGTATACATGAGTGCACTGCAGGTCTCACTTCCAGACTTCTAACATTAGCAAAATCCAAATCCAGGTTTGGCATATAAAGGCACATGTAAAATATGCCTCTCTAGCCTGTGGAGATTTTAAGATACATATATTAAAAAATTCAGGACCTGTAATCCTCTGTCTTCAGGCCTTCCCCATGAATTCAGTAAAACATCCTTTATCATATTCTGTACAAAAAGAAATGTGAGCCCTCCCAATAAAAATGAAAGTAAAAGGAATGATAGAATGGTTTTGATCTGAAGGTTTCCTTTAAAAATCACTTACTTCAACTTCCCTACATGAAGCAGAGATACGTTCCAGCAGATCAGATTGCTCAAAGCTGCATGCAACCTGGCCTTGAACACTTTCAGGATTCCAACAGTTTTGCTGGGCAACTTATTCCTGTGTCTCATCCCCCTAGTTTAAAAAAATCTTTCCTTATATCCAATTAAATCCATCATCTTTCACTTTAAAACGGTTTTCCCTTGTCCTGTCACTACAGTCCCTGGTAAAAAGTGCATTTCTTTTAAGCCCCCTTTATATACTGAAAGATCTCATAGCCTCTTCTATAGGTGGAGCAACCCCAGCTCTCTCAGCCTTGTTTCCCTGCTCAGGTATTCTAACACTCCGTTTTCATGACCTTCCTCTGAACCTACTCTGACAGGTTCACGTTGTCCTTGTGCTGGGATGCAGTACTCCAAGTGGGGCTTCACAAGAGCAGAGTGGAGGGAGAGAATCACCTTCCCTGTCAAAGCCCAAGGCTGCAGGCTTGTACAGACCCACAAAGCTTCTCCAGCCCTGGGTGTAGCTCATCAATGCCCAAATTGAAGGCACTGCCTCAGCCTGCCTCCTGAAGAACCATTCCTTTGTCTGTGCCTTCAAGAAAGGAGGAAGCCAGTAGGATGCAGATCCTGTGTGGTGGGATAGTGCTTTTTATCATGCCAATGTTCCCCCCCTTACACAACTGGCTCAGGCATGAGAACTCCCCTCTGGAAAAGTACTGGGACATTCACATGGAGGCTTGAAGGTATTCATTCCTTCTGATGGGGCATAATTCACTCAAATATGCTGACTTCAGATGCAGCTGTCATGTCTTAGAAGGGGTCATAAACCACCAAAGATCCCTGAAGCACCCCCAGACTCATTTCTGAGGCCTCTCACCACAGGACTGCACATGATCTGCAGTGGTACATCAGACTGTGTAAAACTTCCTCTCCTTCCACTCCCCCAGGGCTGCCTGTACCCAGCTGCACAACTGTTGCCATCTTCAAGTTGCACTGAAAATAACAAGCACAGAGAACTTGAATTCTGGGAGATAATCAAGCATAGAAGTTTTGCAATCATAAGAAGTATGTAGCTATAGTTGTGACTATTATTGCCACACTGCTATCCAAAGCAAGTACTGAAAATGCAGAAAAGCCCCATATAAAAGTCAACTGGCAACCTCCAAAAAACCCTCTCAGGCTTTGCAAGCACGGACAAGAGCATGCAAAGAAATGGAAACTTCTGCTCTAAATTAGGCATGCAGAGTTATGCACCAAGTCATGGCAGCAAACAGTGTGAGAGGCTCCAAAACTGGGCTATGCATTGAACTAATTATGCTTAGTTCAGTGAGGCAACAAAAAGGTGCTGTATGTAGATATAATATCTTAATGGTTCATGGTATTCAAAGGCAGCTTAGTACACTTTGTATCTCTGGCCTGGAATATGATATATAGTCCCACAGCAAATAGATATTGAATTCATTTGCTGTGAATTTCTTGTTTATTTGGGCCAAAATCCCTAAGAAAGATCACTACTTCTGAATCATCTGCTCCAAGTTTGTCAAAGTCTCACTACAGGCTTTAAATACTTCCTGTTAACAGAAAAACTTGCTTTGCAAATCTAAACCTAGACAAAGTTGCATAGTGTTATCAGATTATATGCACAAAAAAAAAAGTCACCACAAAACAGGCTGTTTCAGATATCAGAATATTACTTATATTTAATTAAAACATGTTTTGATTGAAATACATTTGTAGTCAACTTTTAGTTCATAAAGCTTTCAGTTCAACTGATTGGGTTTTTTTGGTCCATTAAGGGTAAAGGTACTTTCCTTCCAAAATAAGACACTAGAGCCAAGAGTACCCAAAAAAACTCTTAAAAGCAGAAGTCTTTATAGTCAAGAGTTCTCAGATGTTTGGTCCAAAAAACCTTAACTTTTTAAATAATGCACTTCTAATGCTGCAAAAGCCAAACAAGGTAGTAATTTTGCTATTTTACTCAGTCTTTCGTTGAAGTTTGTTTTTTTCTGGTTGAAAGAAGTGTTTTTCAAGAGCGTTCACCAATTCATCTAGTTCCTTCTTCAGCTGTTCAACATCACTGGAAAACAAAAATCACACAAACACAGAAAACAGTGAAACAATGGAAAAGCCAAAATATATATTTTTAGTATGAGGAATTTTTAAATCTGTTGCACTGCTTTAGACAAACATTTTCTATTAATGATAGAAATGTATATATTTGATTTCTTATGGCAATGCACTGATGTTCACTTCCAACTGATGTGCATGAAGACTATGAAGAAACATAGGCCCACAATGTAATCTAACGAAGAATGGCCAATTTGAGTTCAGAAGATCTTCTATTATTAAATTTAAGTGACTAGAAGCGTAATTTTTATACTCATAACAGTATTTTTAGATGATTTTTCTTCTGTAAAAAAGTGTTAACTTCATCATGTAAGTTAATAATTATTTATCTTTATGATTGTATGATTTCTAAGCTTTCCTGTTAAAGATACAATTACTAAACATAAATGGGTTTGAAATATATTAGTACACTTTATACTTGATTAAATAATTATAAAGCAACTATGTATGTAAAAAAGGGGTGAAAATATTTGCATTTATTTAAGGCAGAATGCTTTTCCTTATATTATTTCCACTGCATGCAAAACTGAGAAGAAATTTCAGTGACAAGAAGTTATCAACAAATTTTGCAGAGTTGAAGCTTTATATAAATACATTTATTTAAAATGACTTTAGCAATATTATTTGATAGTGGAGAGCTCCTATTTCACTAAAACAATACAAAAAAGCTATACAGACCATTACATCCAATGTCCTGCTGTAAGTGACAGTACCTGTTTCCAGGGGGTGCACAAAGTTCAGAATAGTATTTGATCTTTGGTTCCGTCCCACTGGTTCTCATTGTGGCCACTCCTCCATTAGCAAAAGTGAATGTTATCATTTGGCTGCTTTTACTAGTAGGAAGTATCTAGAAATATTAAGGATTTTTTAAAACTTGGAAAGATACTATATATAATCTCATGACTTGATATTAGATAATATGACAAAAGCACCAGCTAAAATTCTAGTTTAGTTCTGTTCTTTTCAACATTGTGGTCTTGAGACCACAAGGACAGCCGTGCCCTCTGCCCGGAATCCGGTAGAACTGCATCACTGCTAGATATCTTATTTCAAATCTAGATAATTCTTTTACTGCTAATAGAAGTTGAACTGTCATGGCATATCCCAGGAGGAAAGAAAATGGAGATTGTGCAAAAATATAGAATCCAAAACCACATCTTAATAGACAGTTTAACTTGCACTCAGAAGAAAACAATGCAGATTGCTGTAGCAAGGCAGCAAGATCCACCCTTTACAAACTGTCATCTTGGAGAGAAAAACACACCACAAAACCTAACAAGAAACCCAACACCCCCTTGGCTTCACTTCCTCTCACCAAGGCAAAACAATCTTCAACAATCTAACTTATTTTATGACTCAGCATGTAAATATGTTTAGTGTTTCTCCACAGAATGTTTTAGGTATGTGTATCTACATCACATATGATTTACATATAATTTAGAAAGATACTTACAGCCTTTTGATCTGGCTGGCTGCTGTCATACCCAGTAGTTAGATCCCTTATTCCAGAAACTTTAAATCTACCACAAGATTTTGGGTATGTGTTTTTTCCATCAAAATTTCTGAGGTTGTCAAAAAGTTGTTGAATAACTTTAGGATCATGGCAGATGAAATATGAAGCTTTGGTAATATGGAAGCCATATCTGTGAAGACACAGTATTAGTAAATCCAAGAAGCAATGTTCTAAGAGTTGTACAGATTATACAACCTTCCAAAAAGCAACATTTTGTACTCATGCTCACCCAACTGAAGCATCAGTTCATGCCCTTAAAATTTTAAAAAGGTCTAAACAGCTTAATTATCCCATTTTACATACTTTAAAGAAACTTCTGTGCAGATGCCTTTAATTCTAATGATGAAAACTGAGCAAGTTTACAGCAAAACCAGAAGAAAAAAGGTACCGTTATTGCCTTGAAGAGCTCTAACCCCCATAGGAAGGGAAGAGATTACATCTAATAGCTTCAAGTGGATTCCAGCTGACCTTTTCTAAGTAAAACAAATTCTGGACTGCTTTTTCCAATCACACTTCATTAAAGTGTTTCTACTCTCCCATTAAAAGTGTTTTTACTAAAGCCAACTGTTCTGAACATTGTCTCTACCTCACCTGCCTGCTGCCAGGTAATGTGATGCATCAAAGACAAATGACCTGGTAACACTGACTTTTCAAAAGAGCATGCTGTTGAAAAACATTACAAGCCTGGACTGACTGTTCAAGCGAGCTCTTGCTACAGCTCAAGACTTATATCCTTGATAAATATCCCTGATTGCAGAGAAAATCTGAGGGCCAGAATCTTCATTAGTTCTATAATGTTCATGTTAGAAATCTGAATGCCTTCTTAAATAGGGTCATGTTTATGTCCTAAATGGACATCTGGAAAGTTAATAGTAATAGTTAATTAGTATTAAGAATTCAGTAAGGGAATTAATAAAACCTATCCTGTATCTGAAAGAAGTGAAAAGCCTACTAGAACCATGTCCTTTTCCTGATCTGAATTTATTTTGAGACAGATTCCCCTTCTACATTTCCAAAATACAAAATATTTACTTCTGCTTCAACTGTAACTCACAAGGCAAATCTTACAAAAAAGTAAAATAGTAAGATGTAGAAAACTGCAACTCTTTATTAGCCAAAACAAAAAAAATCAAGCACATAAAAAACAACCCTCAAAACAAAACAAGAGCCCTCCTTCCAGCTCATTATCAAACAACAGTTTAATAGGGCAGATTTGTATCCTTCCCTCTATCTGTAGCTTTGCCACAAAGGGTGACTGACTATGTGCAGTGACATCTCACAGACTGCTTTTATGCTAAAGCAGCTCTGAGTTCTCTTCAGTAGCTATGTACACAGCAACACTGTGGCACAGCTCAATTCCACTCAGCCAAATATTCTGAAGTGAACCTGAAGCAGGTGTTGACTGCAGTAGTATTTAAAAAAAATAATAAAAAAACCTAGCCAGAGGTTGAATGTTCAATTCTTGAATATGCACTTCCAGCTAGTAGCATTTAAGGAAATTCTCACATCAGATGCTGTATTTGCTGCTCTAGGTATGAATTCCTCTTTCATGCTTTTATATCACACCATTTATCTACGCAATGTAAGCAAGTCTTTGCCACTTGATTCCTTCCTAAAGAGACAATGAAGCATGGCTAGTGCTGCACACTAACGAGAACTCAGGATTGGCAAAACAAGCAGCACAAAGGTTGGAGTTTTCCATGAGTTTCTTTGCAGGTTCCACGCTCCCTTGTCAGTGTCTATGAGACATGAAGAGCTGGACAGTATCAAACAGCCTGTGCTGCTCCCTCCTTTAAAGCAAACAACCCAAAACCTCCACAAAAACTACTCCTTGTCCCAAGAAATCCAATATTCATCTTTGCTATTGATTTATTTGAATCCATTAAAAAAAAAACACAAAAGCAAAAGTAGTGCCTCATATTAAAAGCACTCAGAGGGATACCTAGCTGTATGTAGCCAAGAGTAATGGCCAGTCACAGCAATTCTGCATAATCAGCTCAAATCTCATTAATCAGGAGCAGAAAGAGAAAAGGACAACCAAAACTCAACAACAATAATCTATCAAAAAAAGACAGAATAATAAAATAAAAGCCTAACTTTAGAGCCAACTAGAATTAATTTACTCATAAGTAGCTCCGAAGGACAGAAGCAAACTGGCTTCTATGTATAGCATAAATAAGCCAGGGCTACTCAGACCCATTCTGCCATCAACATTTCACTGTGTCTGGCTCATTTAAGCAGGAAGAAGCACTATCATCTCTACAGCTCAGCAATACAGCCAGCCAAAAACCTGCCCAATCTTCTGTCAAAGGACCCAAGTGCAGAACTTCCCAAAAGGAAAAAACCTTTCAGACAAGTGAAGAAAACCACCACAAAGATCTCATTAACTAATAGAGAATTAGTATGGTAGTTACTATTATATTTAAAATACCTTAAAACATCACAAAACAAAGTCATAAATATATTCATGTCCACAAGGCAGGAACACTTTCTGGAAGATTACTATTAGTACAGAATTGTCTTAACAGTAAAATCCACATTTCATTCCTTTATAAACTATAGGTTGCTATTAAGTCCCTATTAGCCCCAGAGTGTGAAACTGAGAAAATCTGAAAAACAAAAAATTAAAATTGAACTCACTCATCATAGACAGCTTTTAGCTGCTGAGACAAAGACAAATTCCTGGTTGCCAAAAAGCTGGCCATCTCTGCAGTTATAACAGCAGCACTGACACCATCTTTGTCCAGAACAGCAGGACAGCACATATACCCTAAACAGGGAACATTAGATATAGTTTGATACATTTTTAACAGGAAATAGGATGGATAGGGAAGCTTAGTCAACATCTTTGAAAGGAGAAATGCACATTACCATAGTACAGACATTTTAGAGTCAAAACAAAAGTAGAAAAAGAATTAAAATCTTCTAATCAACATTAATTTTAATAAGCAAGGTATTTAATGGAATTTGAGATTTGCATCATATCAGTGCCACATGTTCCCAGGTCCTTATGGAGCTTTCTAGAAAGAGAAATGCAAACTGCAGGAACAATGCAAGTATAGCATTGTCTCAAATGTGATTACCTTATATGATAGTGTCAGGTAACACTGATAATCATCTGTGAAATTAGCCCCATTTTCTCTGGTTTTCAGGTACTGAGATACTTAAATAGTATTACAGCTTTTCAATTTCCTCCTCATGAATTCATAACTGAATAACATATAACATATAAATAACATATGAATAACATGAATTCATTTGTGGCTTTCAACCATGGTTTTCCAGTTTGCAAATGTAATTTGGGGTAGTTTTTACTTTATTTTATTCACATTTACACTGAGCTAAAGTCTGTCAGGTAAAAAAACTTCAAGTCTGAAAAATGCATTTGTTTATTTTTTTTAAAATACTTTATGCAGAATTTGTAGTCCAAATCTGCATAGCCATGCTACTGTAGAGATATATATACTCCTAGCTCAGAAACTTTGTGCTAAGCAGAGATACAAAGTCTTAACCACTAGTATCAATTAGCCAAATAGATAATTACCTGTTACTCACTGGAAATACACCCATTGTATTGAGGACACCCTTATGTTGCCATTATTACTCTTTTTTTACATTTTACATTATTACTGAGACACTAGCAGAGCACTGGCATTGGTTGCCCAGAGAAATTGTAGAATATCCTTTCCTGGAGATATTCAAGAACCACTTGGGCCCAATCCTGTGTAATGTGCCCTAGGATGTCCTGCTTGAGGAGGAAGGTTGGACCAAATGACCTCCAGCAGTCCCTTCCAACCTTACCCACTCTGTGATTCTCTACAATTCCGTCACTTTTTGCAGTAGTTCTACTTTCACTATTTTGCAAGATATGAAAGCATAACATTCTGTCTCTTACCTATAGCCTCTTCAAATGCAAAAAGAACAGCCTTCCCCTGGTCCATGAGCTGTTTGGCACGGTTCCCCATCCACTTGAAACCTGTCAGTGTTTCCTACAGCAGTGAGGAGAAATCAAAGGCATGAAAAAGAAAAGCAATGTTATACAAACATATGACACTTTGTAGGAAAGCGAATAAAAGAACATGGAATGTAACATGCTGCTTACCTCAAAGTGAAAACCTTCCTTTAGTGCAATTGCTCTCAGGATTTTGGAAGAAACAGTACTGGATAACATGTAGACATCTTTAATGGCATGAGTATCCCTGCTGTTATTTTTCCAGCAAGTGAAGATCCACCAGCCTAAAAGAGCTCCTAGTTCATTTCCAGAAAATACCTTCCATTCACCGCTAGAGGCAAAAAAGTATTAGAAAATACATGAAATCAAAGGATAATACAGGGAAAAAAATTGGTTCTATAAATTAATATTAACAAATAAACAACTGCCTTAGAATTCCAAGTAACAGTAACACGGTATCATGTGTGCATAATGCATAAACAAAAAAATTCCTGAAAAAAAGCATTCTGAAACAGTTACCTTTCTTCTCCATCCTACACATAGGCTTTTGCAGTTTTTCAAAAATGAAACAGTGATGTTTCCAACATATTTTAAGTAAAAAAAAATGTTCAGCATACAATTATAAACTCAGTGATTAAGACAGGCACAGAGACACAAAAATACTATTCTCAAGTAATCAGTATTTTTAGTTGAGCTAGTGACAAATATTTCTAATTTAATCACAAATACATCAGTTAGTCATTGGGAAGACTGGAAAAAATATTAAATGGGTAAAAAAGATTAACATTGATGTGTTGCTAGAACAGGAAAAAAATTAAGAAAAAAAGAAAGACAAATGTCAAAACTGTCAAAAAAATTCCGTCACAAAAGGGGACAGAGACACTTCCAAACTGACAAAACCAAGACCTACAGAAACAGTACCTGTTGTGAAAGAGAAGCAGACTCAGTCTCCTGCTCTTATTGATGCCAACAGGCACAAAGCAATGCACAGCGGCAACTTAGTGTAAGAGTGCTGAGAGAGTGTGCTCTAGCAGGAGGTTCTGTCAAAGAAGAAGTACAGATACTGTAGAAGCCTATATTAATATTTGATTAGTGAATGAAAAGCTACGGCAGAAGTCTGAGATGACACAGGACTGGAAGTTAGGAGACAACTAAGACTGGCTAAACAATGAGCACAGAGGTAGCAGAATGAGAGCACCACGCTCTCACTGGTAATGGGTACAATAAACTAACACCCCTCTTCAAGTTTCTGGTAGCTCAAAGTTTTCAGACAAAAAGCATGAGTGATTTTTCATTCTTGTTTCAACCCATCTTAACTAGCATAATCTGAAGCTTTTTATACCTTTTCCTTAAAGTTGAATTGCCAACTGAGGCCAGCACATTGAATCATTGAATATTGAATCATTGAAATATAAACCTTCCAATTAACACTGTCCAAGATGCAAGTGCCCACAAAAGATCATTCTTCTTTCAAAGGCAGAGAAACCTTCTTAGTTCATGCTGCGAGCCTAATGAGTTTAAAAGCACTCCAAACCCCAAAGAAAATATTACCACTTTTAGAGCTACTACTTTAGCTCTTTTGGTTATCTGTTGAGCATAACGGGTATTTGCACACTCTCCTGTTACTGGACTTTTGAAATTTGTCTAACTGATACAGATTCAACTATTTAATTCACCCACAACGACTGAGGACATCTAGCAGATGTCCACATCATCCCTTGGCTACCAAAAGTCTGTTGCCATAATTTTACATCCCTCTTCTGGTTCTCATGCACAGGGAATCCATTAATACTGGCCCAGCAGCAGTTTTTTTTTTTCTGCTCCTCTCTAAGCTGAAAACATTGAAGCTTATTTTTACTAAGGATTTACAGTTTATAACTGCTCAGATTAGTTTCTGCTTTATCAAGGTAGATAAAGGAGAACCACTACTATCTGTAGATATGATACCAAGTGCTAGAACTTCAGCTTTCTTTGATTCATTAGATAAAACCTCAATATGGAAATGTAAACAATTGTAGAAGTACAAGATATCAGAGGGCATAAAAAAAGGGGACAGCCATACTGAGTCAGAACTATAGGTTACATTTCACAGATATAAACAATTTATTGTAAGCCTTTAACTGAGCGAGTTTGTTTTGTGATCCCCTTCTTTGACTGGGCATGCAAAGAGAAATAATGTACGTATAGGTGGTTCTTGAAAGGGAGAGTATGAATGACTATACTGAGAAGTACTAAACTGTGAAAAACCTTAAGGTGAAATGCAAATACATAACATTATGTTAAGAAGTGGGAAACTGAGCAAGAGAAGCACAAATCATCTAATAATCAGTAAAAGGTTTGGTTTAACAAGATTTGAGAAAGAAGACATTCATACTAAAGAGTATTATCTGGCACTATACAGATTCTCCTAAATCGAAGTTATTGTTTAATAAACCTAGAATGAAAAAACGTTTATGGGTGTTATGCAAAAAAAATTAAAATGGAAACCTACCTTTGAAAAGGTATAGCACAATAACAATTCCCAGGCTTCTGTGCATGCTTAAACTACAGAAAGTCTTAACTATTTATTCAGGCTTTTGTACAGTGTCTAATAGTCATCATTATTTCACATCCTGCTCCTACTGTGGTCTGCTTCATACATTCTTCTCACATTTCTGTGTGTTTTCAATCAAAAAAATTACTACTGTGACTATTCTTCCTCTGCAACACAAGTAACAAGAATTCTCCAAATAAGCCTAGCCTTGCGAGTAAAAAATGACAACAGTTTACATTACTTATTACCATACCTCTCTTGTTTCTCTGCAACTGCCAGTCGATCAGCATCAGGATCATTTGCTAAAATGATTCTTGCCCCATCTTTTTCAGCCAAAGCAAAAGACAATGTCTGAAAAAGTGGCAAGCAGGACCATATGAGCGTTAATATTCCCAAATAATATTTGCACTTTCTTTATAGGTTTTAAATTTCCGAAATAAATTTCCCAATTTATTTAATCTCAAACACCCAAAATCATTATGTGTCTCTCAAAAAACCCAAAAACTTCTAGCCTAGCAGCAGAAGAACATAGTCAGGATGTACATCCTTCCACTTCTGTAGTCCAACTTAAAAGCTGTGTAGATTTAATGGTATCCTTCAACAACAAAGTGTAATAGAAATAGTAGTAGAAACTCTAACCACCTGTCAGGACTTCTCCTGCCCCCTTCTGGTGTTGTGTCAGAACAAAAGAGTAGAAGCCTTCTAAAAACAACTGAGAAGATTTTTATTATTATTTTATTTTTTAAAATTAACTATCACTTTGTCCCATGTGCAGATCCTGCCCATTCTGTTAGAGCTCAGAACAAAGTAGTTGAAAGTCAAGGCTAATTGCTACCTGACTGGTTCAAAGAGGGTTATGTCAATGAAAGGATAACAGCTAACTCTTCACTAAATGGAAGACTATGAAACAGATTAAAAATAGACCTTCCACCAATATCTACAGCTGTAACTTTTGGCAAAAAGGAAAACACTGAAAGACATCACAACTATTTAAAAAAAACACCAAACCTATTTACCAGAACACCTTTGCCTTCTTCAGGATTTGGATACTTCACTGTGGGAAAGTCTGGATCAGGATCTTTCTGCTCCGGAACAGCAAAAGGAGGGCTAAGGTCAAATGCCTTGAATGCCAGCTGCACAAATTTATGTCCCACGCCATGCACAGAAGTATGAACAAATTTCAGGTTTGTTTCCTTGTTTATATTCCTGAAATAAAACAGGTTAACAGTAAACTTGGACATGGAAGACTGTTCTGCACAAAACTACATTTGGAAACAGATACAACTCAGTATTCTATATCACTGTTAAAATTATGAATGAAAGGAGGTCAGATTTTAAAAGCAATGGCTTGAAAATCAGCTTAGCCTAATTTTCAGTGATATGAGCCACTCTTGGCATCCAATATCCTGGAATGTGCAAATCACTGGAGCAAGAAAGACAGTACACTCTACACATCCCAAAGAAGGTGAGTGAAAAGCAAACGCAGCTGACTAAAGAGACTCTTGATCCTCAACTCTAGCATTTAAACCACCTCCAAAGACTGTGAACACAGTGAGTCAACAGCAGCCTGCCCAATTTGAGCACACTCATTTTTAGGAAGTAAAAAGCATTGGGCATACCTAAAATCATGCAAACTCCTAAGGAGACATTAAATTCCAATTCTGAAAAAGCAGTGTAATAGCACCAGCTTTCCAGTAACACCTGACTGGTTTTAGCAAGAGTAAAAACATGGTTACTGGTGGTTAAAATTTCTACACAAAATAAGCAGATCTAAAAGGTTGATACTCATCTACTACATAAATCAATTCTAACCGTTCATCACCAAGAGAAAACATCCACTTCATTTTACTAAAGATTTTACTGGGCAAGTGATAGGACTAGGCTGTTGTAAGGCACCCAAGGCTACCAGGAACACAAGCAAGGCTGGAATGACAGAGCAAGACCTTGATCCAGAACTGGCTTAATAGTCTGGTCCAACATCTCTCTCAGAGACTTGTTTTAAGGCTGGTGGGCTGTCCATGCCAGCTCACCTCTGGCAGCCCTAGGCTTGATATGGCACTTGGCTGATGCATGGCCATGAATATACAGGGAGATATCATCAGAAATTTGCTCACTTTGCTGGGTTAGACTTCTACCAGGACAGCTTTATGAACTGGCTTACTACACCACCACACAGGTGCCAGTGCTACAACAAAAGATGACAAAAAACAAAGGCAGAACCGGGTCATGGCAGGATTGTGGCCACCCTCACTTCCATCAATTTAAACTGCCCTGCTAACATGCTAGATGGAATAGCCTGTATTCTTAAAGGAATTAACACCAGTCACCTGTAAAAGCACTGTTTTTGTATGTCTTTGAAATACTCCTTATTGACCATGGCATATGGATCATGAAGTAGTGGGCTGCTGTCAATCAGTTTGTCATCCCACGCCTGAGGCCACGGCTCTTGGTTTTCCTCAATGGCCTGAGAAATTCCTTTGTCATGAGGGGAAATGATCTGAGCACCGTTTTCCCAGTAAACCTAAATAAAAAATAGGTGAGTATTTGATCATTAATCTTCTAAGATTTGTTATGTTTTTTGTTGGTTAAGGTACAGTACAATCACTAGAGTATTACAGTAAATTAGGCTTAAGTTTACCCAAAGTATTCTGTTCATATTCTCAGTGTTTCTTCTCACATCTCATTTTTATTATATTAAAAAAAAAAAGTAGTTTAATTTTATCAAAAGATATCAAGACCCATAATGAAACACAAAACAAGACCCAGTCATTTACTAAGAGAACTTCCATTTTTGTATTTTGGAAACAGTCTGTATATAACTGCTCAGCTATTGAATGACTGGTGCATGGGCAATTCAGCAGCGTTTTTTCCAGGGGATAACAGATTACAATGGCATCCTGCTTTCTAGGGCAAATATTTTAATTATATTATTAGTCTAACACGATACTAGCTTTAAATACATAGAAGAGACAAGAGAGATAGAGAGACTAGTAATTAATTTAGTCTATACCATGATAGGAGCTATACACAATTGCATTGGTTTCTCTACATGGAAAAAAAAAAGAGCCAGAAAATAGATCACATTGGAGTACCTTATAACCATTGTCTTGTTTGGGATTATGGGAAGCAGTAACCATAATTCCAGCACAAAGCTTCAGATGAGTTACTGTGTATGGCTGTAACAAGAGAAAGGTACTTGAAGTAGAATTTGCAACATATTATATATTATTTATTCTCATGCATATAGAAAACTTCCATAGTGCTGAATAAAAAGAAAGTCAGGATGTGATTCCTACACACTGACTCCCTCAAGGAGAAGCTAAATAGTACTTGCTCCACTAGACTCCACGTGGCACAACTTTAGCCCTTGTTTTTGCTTGTGTATTTTTCCATGTCTATGTTATTAATGCTGTTCCAGATGCTTTGTGAATCTCTAGGGTAGTGTATTTCTACAAGGAAGGCAGATGTATGTGTTGCCTACTGTAGAATGACTTGAGGTACCTGAGGCCTTAAAAGGTGCCAAATTTGTTGGGGTAATGACAGAAGTCAGCATGGGGCAGAGAACTGCAGCTCAAGCAGTGTCATCCACACTGTCTTTTGGGAGCAGCCTGGGGAGCACATACTCCATCAGGGGTCAGAAGAGAATTGTTTTGGAGAGCACTCCTATAAATTAGCTCAAAACAGATGGAGTGAATTAAAAATAAAGCATTGTTCATGAACACTGCTCCAATCTGTGTTTACTCCTGGCTCTTTAACAGTGAAACGCAATCAACTGCAGTTCTTGCAACATCATATTAAGCTGCACTGTGAAGAATTTAACTCTAAATCCACAAAAAACTGTATTAGTATAAGACTGCTATGTAGAAACTCTGTGCTCTGTTTGCAATGCTCACTAGAACAACTGGTATAGGGAGAAATTATTGTTTTTAGTACAAAGGCCAAGTGCAGGGCTTTTCTGTATTGCTCTGGAGACACCTGGTGTTCTGATGGGGGCATCGTGGACACAATCCAATAACCCTTCTGGCAAAGCATCACTGTATTCCAACAACTTGCAATTCTGGATTCAATACCTTGAAGCCTTGCCCCTCCTCCCCTCAAAAAAAACAAACAAACAAACAAAAAAAAAAGGTAAAAATCCAGCCAAATATGAGTGTATGTTCCAGACTTCAGACTTCACAGCAATCTGCTGACATTCCACATTCTCCCTTCTCTTGCTATGGATGTTGTAAATTATACATAGCTAAATAAGTACAAGACTCTCTGCAGGAAGAGCTTAAAAAGTAAGAAGTGGTTTGTATAGTTATCCTTAACTTAAGTAATGCAAGGTATCTGACAGAATTTGTGTATATTTAAAGCAGATAAAATACACAGAAAGATAGAAGAGAAAAACCTACCACAAAGGGAGTTGGTATTATATCAGAGAATAGATAAACTGGAACTCCCTGACTGATGAAGGTATTGGCAGCAAGTCTTGCAAACCTAAACAGAAAGAAAAGATACCTAGTGAATATATTCATTTTCTTACCAGTTAGGTTCCTGAAATTCACAGCTTTCCCTCCTACCTTAATGCAATTATAAAATCGCAACAAACACCACCACTTATCAATATATCTCACTTATTATACAGACCCAATTTAAATGTGCTCCCTCATTATTTCCAATAAAAGCACAACTCTAAGAACTGCTTTGGCATTACCAACATGTAAGAATACTGCAAATCCCACACATTACAGAAGGAAAACACAGTTGAAGTAGATATAAATCCTTCATGGATCACACAAGGTATCTACAAAATACTAAATACAAAACCTAAGAAGTACCTTTTGCTACTACCTCCACTGGAAAGATGAGCACGAGCATCAAACCCAATCACAACTCCTCTCTTTTTCAGGTCACTGAAATTCTTCTCAAGGTATCTGCAAAATCCCTAAAGACAACAACAAATCCAGCCAATCTTGATGTTTAATTTATCATCATATTAAGATAATTGCTAAGATTCTGATGTCTTAGGAAGCTGAGCACACATAACATCTCATTGAACTGCTGTGGGATTCAGCTTGTCCAGGACCAATAAACAACAAGAAATTCAGAAACTTTCAAATCAATACTGCAAACCTGGACAGCACTTAAATACTTTAAAAATTATCAGATTTAACTCCAAAAAGGAACAGATAACACAATTAGTCCGAATGGCCTGATTTGAGAAACGATTCAGCTGTCTTAGGTCTCACATGAGGAAGAGAACAGGTGGCCAGCATTTCAGGTTTTTAACCAAATCTCACCCTTAATAATGACATCTCTTTGGCACGTGGTACATCACCACTCCAGACTGGAGTTATTCAGGGTTGTGGGTTTTTTCCCAAGTAGATCTACTTTAGGATCCATGTATGTATACAGACCTTCAGTGCTTTTATGTAAATGATGTCCAGCACACACAAAGCTTAGCCCAACTTTCGTAGTCTTTGGGGTTGTTTTGTAGTTGTTACAACAGCACTAACTGTTACACTTGAGTTTAACAGCAGCTGTATACAAATTAAATTGTAAATCAAACACACAAAGTAACTTCTTTTAATGGTTTAATAGCTTCTCTCTACTTGTTTTCAGAGATTAGCACTCAGCTAATAATTTTAATTTAAATTACTTCTGAAAACTGGAAGAATAGGAGACAACTTGTACTTCCATAGACTACTCATTTACTTGCCATAAATTAGGTTCTTCCATTCATATACACAACCAGTTAAGTGAGATAAAGTGCTGAACACAATACCTGGGTTGTCTGGATAATAGTCAAGTCATTCATGTGGGAAATCCCTGCTCCCATGGCAGCTCTGAGCCCTGCTGTGCCAAACTCCATTCGTGAGCCAAAGTATTTCTGCAGTTCTCCGGCATTTCCTTCCGCAAGCAATTGTTTCACGATTGCGTAAGTTTTTGGATTCTGTTGAAACAAGATTCAGATATTCTAAATGAGGTTTTGTTGTTTTAACAGAACTGACTTTCTGTCCCAATCTCTGGGTTTCAGTATCAAAACATGGCACAGAACTTCAAGAACACCAGAACTCCTGTTGTCTTCTTGATTTTAAATCAGTACAACCTCAAATATTTTAGATTTATCTCCTTAAGAGAAGATGCTACCTGAACAGCAATGTGTGTGTGTATATATATACACATCTCTCACAATCTGGGATGTTAGAAGATTTCCAAGATGTCTATTTTAATGTTTTCTCTTCTTAAAAACAAAACAAACAAAAAGCAGCACTTCAACAGTTCAGAGAATTTTTCCTCATCACAAGACAAAAACTACACTAAACATTTAAGAAAGTAAGTTAAGCTAATTATTAAGAAACATTTGTTCTTTCTATAGCACTATAGAAAATAGTTTAAAACAAATTATATCATAACCTTGTCCCAAGACTGGCTCGCACCACAGGTAGCAGCAAAACTAAGCAAACTGGGCAGAAGAGAATTCCCAATGTATTTCCAAGTAATACTTGTAAAAAAACCCACAACGCCAGGATGAAAGCCTAGAAACTACAGCCAAATTCTTAAATAAAATAACTCAAGAGTGGCAACAAAAAGGCCATGTCAGACCACTTGAGAACAGTGACGAGTTTCTAACTTTCACTGCTTTTCTTGGTATATTGCTTCCACAGATTCTCTGTTTTTAATTACTCTTTTTGTTTCCAGACTTAGGGAATTAGCAAAATCCTGTATGCCTCAACTTTTCAATGCAATAACATGAGACTTGTGAAGTTCAGTATTAGATTTTTGGAGAACTGATGAGCCAAGAGGACAGATGGCAGGTGGCAGACTCCTGACAACAGGATTATCTGGAGAGGCAGCAGGTTACTCACTGCATGAGTACTCCACCTTACTCCGGAGTACAAAGATTATAATTTCCAAAGGGACACAAACTTTGATTTCTAGGCAATTAAATGAACTCATAAAAGTCATAGACTTTAATATTTCCTGGATGACCTAGGTATGATTACAGCAAGGGAAAGCATATTACACTAGGCAAAAAGGAAAAAAAAATTAAATGTAAAAACATGTATCTTCTGCAGCTTCAGAAAATGCTGCAGAGCACACAGAGTAGTAGGCATGTAAGTTTGCATACAAAGGTATAAACATTCTGCACATCAAACCGAGACCAGAGTCGGGATGTCCTAACCACTGACCTGTGCACCCAGTGCCACAGGACAAACAACATAGTTTAAATACATACTGAAAAAGCTAAAGAGCCTTTGGTGCTAATGAGCAAACTGCATCATGGAGAATAATCTAAAGTATTAAAAAAAAAAAAAAAAAAAAGAAATCCAGCTTCCTGAGTGCAATAAACAATTAGGTACCCCAGAATTACTGATTTCCAGTGCAAAATTTACCAGTTTACCAGTCCAAGAATGTTGTAACTGACACTCCCTCGTAGACAGCTTGACACAATTATCTATTATTATTGAGTAATTACATTCTGTAAGAATAAATATAAGTCTATGTTATGGAATATATAGGGCAGCACAACCGAGTTTAGGCTGTTTACACGTTGACGTCAAGTTTTTGCTTTAACATCAGGCCTATGTCTCAAAGGCAAAGCCTGAATGACACCATTTGCATCCAGTTCTGTACACTGTCCAGTCACCTTTTAATTCCCCTGGGTGAGCTTTGTGCACACAAGTCATGTCAATACTGAAATGAGCATGTTTTTAGGCAGTTACTACACACATTTCTACAGGTGTTTGACAGACTAGAAGCTGTAATGGCAATGCAGAAGGACATTGGGAGCATCCTGCAGCTCTCACAGCCAGGGAGTTTTTTGTTTGTTATTGTCAGAGGAATTTCCCAGGTTTGGAATCTACTGTGAAACTAAAGGGATCCTCCAGCATTTTAAGTCTGGTTAAATGTACATATCCAGGTGGCCGCCCAAGTTCTAAGAATTTCAGTCCGTAGAATTTTCTAAAGAAAACTTGGTTGCATTAATTTAGTTGATACCCACTGCCTGCCTCCACTCCACACCAAATAATGGCAAAAGCCAGGTCAAGTCTGTTTAATATGGTAGAAGGATTTTTCCAGAAGTACTGTTACAATTGTTTATGGCTATATTCTCCTAAGAATCTGCCTTTTTTTTTTTTTGGTGTGTGCGTGTGAAGAATGTTATGATGCCATTGCACACAGCTAAGTGAAAAACGAATCTTGATTTTGGCTCTTTCTTTTCCTTAAACAAACTTTTCACAGTATCTCTACCAAAGAAGGACCAAATTGTATCAGAAGGATGAAGTGATGGCTTTTTTCTTTCTTATTGATTCTCTCAGGTTACACTTTTTCTGCTCTCAAATTAAACCTGATGTGAGTATGTGAGTACCATTTTCTGTGAATACAGTGGCAGGTGATTTAATACCAAGTTAATATCCACTAGTGCAATTAGCTTGAACATCACCTGGTAACACTCGAGTTATTTACTTTAATCTACACTACAGGAAGGCTCCAAGAGTTATCATCAGTAGAGAAGTCCCCACAAGGTTTTAGAGGAGAGGAAGAACTTCTGACTAAACAGATTTTGTTTTTATGAAAACCAGAAGCTACCTTCCGTTCATAATTCTATGACTGATAACAGAAAGAATGAAAAAAATGCTATTACTGTAATGAACACAGTGATGAAAACAGTCTGGTAACAAGCACAGTAATTGTCGTTGTAGGTAGAAACTTCCAGTTAGGTCAGCAGGGCCACCATCAGCCATAAAGGCTTGCTCTTGCAGACAATTATTTTCTAAGAAAAATGGGGCTTATCATCATTAAATATTAACCTATCTCCACATGTCAAAAAGGAACTTTTTTTTATATCAGAGTAAATGGACAAGGGTTATATCTGATTCTTCTGTTGCTCAATAGAAACATGCAACAGCTCCCTGAGAAATTAAAATACCTCATCATTTTTGAGCAATCAGCAATGGGTATTGCACACTAGTCAATTATTACTGAGTCAAAGACACAAGTGCTAACAGAGGGCTAAACTTGCAAAAGTAAAGATGCTATAAAGGATACTGCATTAGATTTCCCAAGGCTTTAATAAAATAATCAGAATAACCAGTTGAAAAGCAAATTATTACACAGAAGACAGGAATATAACTAGCGCTGGTCAGGGAAGTTAGGTAAATAAGAGGCTCTAAACCCAAACTATTATTCTCAAAATCAATTAAACTGGGGAAAAAAGGCACAAAAGCTTATTGTCATCTGACATGATACATTAGCATTTCGGAAAAGATGACTGGTTTGGCTCAGCTCTATCATTAATAAAACCAGAACTGGGTAACTGGTCAGTTAAACAACTGACTGATCTTTAATGAAGAATCACAACAAGCTCGAGGAAATTCTAATGATGTCCTTTAGAACTTGGAAAGAATACTAAAAAAACTATTATTATAGGTTTCCACTGATATTTTTGAAATAAGCAGATGCCTTACCAAACAGGTATGTGTGCTGCACAAAACTCAGAGAGCATTGTTGAGTGCTCAGCCCAGTGGAGTCATGTTAGTGACTGAAGGGGGGCAATGGCCAGTGTGTTCCAATACAGCCAAATGAACAAATTATATGAAGAGGGACATAAAAAATTCAAACCAAATGTTCCAATAGAGGCCTGCATCTCAGTGGGACCTGCAGCAGCGAGCAACTACATGACCACTTCCAGAACACCACTGTGACAAGATGTATCTTTAGGTATGTGGAAAACAGAAACACATAGAAGATTTTACTTCAGCGCATAGTGTTGTCAAAACCAAAATCAAAGATAAGTCTCAACAGGAAGGGAAACAACACCTGAAGAAAACGAGACTGGCAGCATCTGCATTTCCAAGTACCTTTAAAGTGAGCCCACATGTCTCTTGGGATCAATATTTTAGTAAACAAAAATTTGAAGGTACCAGGAAGTTAACACTGAGAGACAAGCAACACAGCAATGTATGCTGGTCTTTAATAATTAAAGTCTACCAACTGCCCTGCGACTGAAGCAGTTCAGAACAATGCAGGCCTTTATGAAAAAGACGTTCAGTACAGCTCAAAGCCACACTGAGACCAGCCGGGGCGCTTCTACACGAAAGCGGGGCTGCTGCGGCAGGTGCCGGAGCCGCAGCACCGGGCGGGGGGCCCGCAGCCTCACCTGCGCCTCTGGATGGAGGGGCAGAGAGAGAGCATCCCTTTATCAGAGAGGTCTGAGAGCAGAGCCGAAGGAGCAAACGGGTGCTTTCACCGCACGCCAAACCAGCACAATGCAAGAGCCGCGCCTCCTGACTCTTCTCCAGCCTGCGCCCCCACCGCCCCCCAGCCAGCCAGCCAGCCCTGCCTGGCCGGAGCCGCCACCGCTCACCTTATCCCAGAGCAGCCACTGCTCGGCCGCGCGGTGGAGCGCGGTATCCCCCGCGGAGCCCTGCGCTGCCATCCCGCTGCCGCCCGGCCACCGCCGCCCCGCTCCTTCCCTCTTCCGGAGCGCGCCCGCTCCGCTCCGCTCCGCCCGCCGGGCCGCCCCGGGCCGCCCCACCTCCGCCCCGCCCGCCTGCCCGGGCCGGGGTCGGGGCCGGGGCCGGGGCCGGGGCCGGGGCCGGGGCCGGGGCCGAGGCCATGGCCGGATGGCGCGGCCCCGCCTCCGTCCTGCCCGCCGCGGCCGGGTGGAGGCCCTCGCTTAGAGCGGGAGTTTGTTTAATTCTGTCTTCGCGGGACGCTGAATGTTGTCAGGTGTTTACAGCCCCGGTGGGGCTGCAGGAGCCCCGAGGGCAGCCCCGGACAGCCCCTGGCCCCGGCCCCGCGCTGCGCCGAGCGGAGCAGGAGCGTTCCCAAATTCCAGCGGGAAGACTGCGGGGGACACGGCCGCCTCCTCCGCAGCATGGCTGACGGAAGAAAGTAGCGCTGTTGTTGGAAATGTCGCTTTGCACGGGCATTGGACTAAGGCGATCTGAGATTCCTTTTTATCGTCAAGATAAATGAGGAATGAGCTCGGGAGCACTTTAATATAGGAAAAAGATTACAACTAGACGATCTTTAAGGTTCTTTCTGACCCAACACGTGCTATGATTCTATGATAAATTTTCATAGAAATAATAAATTGTACAGATATTTGAAAACGTTTCAAAGTTCATTAGTACATTACCAGAATGCATGTGAATAAGAGAAATGCTACACATCACTTGCAAGAGTGTTAATGCACATCCTTCTGATATTCACTACTGATGAGTAAAATAATTGTTATGATACCCTTACAGAAAAACTGTTAAGATGAAACATCAGAGGAACCAAAAAATAACACAATCAGAAAAAAAAAAAAAAGTTGTTTGGCCCCTTTTCTAATAATTTCTTTTCTCTAGCGTTTTTATAATGGTAATTTAACCCAGCTCCTCTGACCTCTGCACCTCTCTGGATGAACTCAAATCTGACCTCAGCTGCAAAATTAAAAAAGTAACTGAATTTCACTCAGGAAAATGGACTGTGTTCCTTCTGCCGGAATTAAAGATCAGGTTAATATGACTTTGAATAATTATTATAGCTTGTAGCATAGTATCTTTGAGAGAAGCCTGAGTTACCAAGCTGCTGCTCTGTCTAAACAATTCCTGTAACTAAGCTTGTGTTTTGACTGGAATCCCTTGAAGGTGCCATGAGAAGCCCCTCCAGCCAGGTTGATTTCTTAAAATTTTTTTTGGCAAACATATAGTCCAGAGGGCACTGAACCCTCTTTTTTGCCTAATAAGATTCTGTCATGAGCTTCCCAAAGTACTAAGGGAAACAGCAGTGTGAGTGCTCTGGGACTTCAGGACAAGGTGTTCTGGAGTTTTTCCCTACATTTTATCAGCCTCTGTCTGAAGCTGGGCTAGACCAGGTGATGCACATCTGCAGGGAGAGCTGTAAGGAGTGACTGGGATTTCCCTGTTTAACTCTACAGGCCAAGGTAGGGGAAGATCCCTGAGAGTGGTACAGATGCAGTGTTCTGAGGCTGCTGAGAAATGTGAGGTCACTGTTACATACAGGAGCAGCAGAGTACCTTGGCAGGGGTGCCAAGTCCCGAATCCTCTTGCAAGGGATATCCTATCCAGGCGCTTTCCAACAGTGTGTCAATGGGAGCAAGGAGCATCCCTTTGCCCCCAAGTTTAGAGGATGGGGCAAATGAGGAAGGGGCTGGCCTTGTGGAAATGTCACTGAACTTCTATATGCTGTTCAGCACTGACTTTGTAAAGCACCATAACAAGGACTTCTGCCACTGACTCAACTGAAGGAGATGACAGATTAATGGAACATATCCTCTTTCTCTTGAATGCCTGAGGTTGGCTATAAATCAAGCAGGTTTTCTTCAGGATGGACCAAAATGGTTATCAGGATCCATTACAGTATAGGCTCAGCTGTGTCACAGAAGAGCTCTTTCAAAGTTCTTGTCTAATACCATCTGGGACTGCTGTGAACAGAGTGGCCAGAACCATGCAACTTGCAAAGTGCCGCAGTCCTGAAGACGTAATGATCTAATGACACCCGAAGAGGTGGAAAATGAAATAGCCAACTGCTGCCTGCAGTTGCTGCTGTGATGAACACAGTTCTTCATGAAAACAATATAGCGTAAATTATTTCAGAATACCACAAAACAATAAGATCCTTCCTAGTGATTAGTTCTAAAAGTGAATTTCCGTGAATTTCCAAGAAAATGTAAAACCCAACAGTATTTCCTGTGAAGTATTAGATACTGAATTGGAGAAAAATTGGTTGACTATACGTTAAAATCAGATAAAACTGAGACATAAAGGATGAAGGGTTTTTCCTCTTTTTTAAAATTTTTTTTCTCCAGCTGTTACCAAACCCAGCTGAAACTGACAAAATAAAACTTAAAAAAATCCATTCAATAAACCAAGTTTGCTGACTTTATAGTCTTTTTTGGGAACTTAAAATACTGTGCCTAATTGTAATTGAATCTTCTTCAAAACAGGTGGAATCACTACTAAATTCAAACTAATGCTAGAATTTCAGAGTAGGGTACTTTGTGGGGTACCTAAAGCAGCTCTCTTGACCTACACTTTCGGAAGTAAAACGTTTCAGATGAATACTGAATGTTACAACTTGAGCTCAGTGTGACTGCAGCTGCACGGGCTTTTCACACCACGTATGAACCAAATGGCATTTGTCTATTCACTGTGTTAGGCTTTAGCCTTAACACCACAGCACTAAATTGCCTTATTTAACTTGCAGATAGCAAGAGCAATCAATGTGTTAATGGTGCTCATCAATATCTTCAGTCAAGTTTTGAATTTTATGGTATCTGCAGCTATGTGTTGTACAGAGGGATTTTACCAAAGTATATAAATACCTGAAAGGAGGGTGCAAAGAGGATGGAGCCAGGCTCTTTTCAGTAGTGCTCACTGACAGGACAAGAGGCACAAACTGAAACGGAGGTTCCGGGTGAACATTAGGAAATACTTTTTCACTGTGACAGTGACTGAGTACTGACACAGGTTGCTTAAGGAGTTTTGGAGTCTTCATCCTTGGAAATATGTAAAAGCCATTTGAATGTGGTTTTGGGCAGGTGGGTCTTGAGCAGGAAAGTTTGACCAAATGACCTCCAGAGGTCTTCTCCAGCCTCAACCACTCTGTGAATCTGAGATGTTAATATATTCTGTAACACATGAGATGTTGTATGTTCTGGCAAGGAAGCTAAATTTTTCATTGCTGACTTCTGCAGTATGGTGATACAGGTGTAGAGAAAATTTGTGAAATGCTAACACAAAGTGAATGTCACAGCCAGTGATATTTTCTTGTTGTATGTACAGATAGTATGTTTAAACTCTTCTACCCAGTTCCCCTATTTTCAGTATGCTTTTAGTGCATGATCATTCTCCATTTGCAGCCAGCTGGGACATAGCAATTGCTATTTGTGTTACATACAGAAATAAAAGGACTAAGGATTATAGGATATTACTGATAACAAGTTAAAGTTAGCTTTAGATTCTCAGAGCTTTGAGTACATGTCTTAGCTCCACTACTTTAAGCAGTCTGAAAATATAAAGGTATTTTATTAGTTTTCACTTTCATCACTAGCTTGAAATACTAGTAGGGGGCAGGAGAGAAAAAAGGTTTGATTCTACAGCTCAGATTGACTGGGAAACTGTGGTGCATATTGCACATTTCAAAAAGCACATATAGCCCTCGGAAGAGGATGTTGTCTTAAACAAAGCACTGTTCTTGTAATCTGATGAGAGGGGAGGGGGAAGCAGGGGAAGAAAAGGAAGGATGTAGTGGATATTGTATTGTTGGCTTGAATTTTAGTATTTGTTCTCCACTTCTGTAGTCTACCAGCTAACCCAAGGATGTGTCAGACTATTTTACATTTCCTCTTGGAAATTTTTTCTTCACTGTTTGTTGTAAGCTTATTGTTCACAATTGAAAATCTTTTATAATTTCCACTGTTTGACATACTCTCCTGATCTCTGGTAGTCAGGCAGAAAAGAACTACTGAAACATGCTTTTTCTGTTTTGTTCTAGACTGCATTCAGTTTCTAGGTTCAAGGATAAATTAACTTATGTTTGTTCAACAGACAGGACAAAGTCAGAGCTAATGCCAGTTCTTTTCAAGTATATTTTGGACTGCTGCCCTTCTCTTACATGTAAAGACCAAAATTACAAGCCAAAGTGAAAAATAAAGTTAGTCTGACTGATGAATACATGATCTTGAACTCACCCCTTGTGTAAATGACTCAAATTATGCTGTGATAAAAAAAGAAACATTTGATGTTATGGTTTCACGGAATTCAAGAGTAATATACACAGTTTATTTTGACTCAATTCCTTTATGAAAGAAGTGAGTAGGGTGAATTATTTTTATATATGTCCTTCAGTTTGGTTGTGATTTAACTTTCTTCCCTCCCTAGGTAATTTCTGGATACCTAGGCAGAATTACCTTGATTTGAATAACACTGTGCTGTCTGTTACAGAAATGGGGTTGAGAGTGATTCTGACAGTTCTCACCCTAAGTTTAGGAAAGCTTTCCTTAACCAGGATTAGTTATCCAGAATAGAAGTAAAAAAATCTAAACTGGTCGCAGCATAAATATACTGGATAGATATTTGCCTTAACAACAATAAGTTATGAGGATTTTCATAACTTGTTATGAAAACATAACAAGTTTCCCAAAAATGTTAAGCTTCTAAATCCAAGTTTAGACTTCTAAGTAAGCTGTTTCTCAAAAGTGCTGAACCTGCAGCAGTTCCCATTGAATGCTCAGGCCTGTAAATGCATGGCTGAGAGGCACGATGGCAATATCAAAGGGGAAAGGCGGTTGCTTTAAAAAAACTGGCACAGTATGCTTTGTAATATACAGCTATACTCCACAGTTTACACCTCTAAAGTTGAAATATTTGTTTTACAGACAGCAAAACTGAGCTCACGTACAAAAGATTTATCTGATATCCTACTGCTGAAGGAAATAGTATCTAAAATTTG